GATTTACCGCTGATTACAGAACCGGCTTTCTGACAAGATGCGCGTTAAATATCGCATGCGATTAATCGTGCAGCCCTAATACCCGTAAAACTATCATTCTTTTATTCAGAATCCACTACACTGAATGCACACACTGCAGTAAAACCAAAGTCCTTTTAAGACAAGTCATGTCACTCAGCGGCCATCTTTGAAACGCCGCTCGGGCATGCAAGTGCAACTCCCATCTCTTTGAATGGGGAAACATCAAATTCTCCAAAACTGTTCACTAAGCTTACGATTACATTTCATATTTGAAATCACCAAAGAAATCTGACAACAACCGTGTCATAAATGTTGTTACTTTTGCTCAAATAGCATTATAAAAAGCTTATTTTTCAGGCTAGATCAGCCAGTGCGCATACGCAGTCCTAAGAGCACGCCTCAGAATGCTGACTGTTTCTATAGCAACCGGGACTTCTAACGGCAGCTGCAGTGACGCGCTGACCTTACCGATTCCCCATTCAAAACTATACGAGTGACACGTCTTGGGTATTCTATAGTCTTTGAGTAAAACTAACTAAAAGTGGTCTACATGGGCTCTAAAAGGTAAAACACACTCCGCTGATGGTTTCTGAATAAGAGTGAGTAAGAGAGTCCATTAGACACAGACACACAGAACCTCTCTGATGGCCATTAAACATTTAGAAGATGACAAGTACACTTTCCCTCTCTTGTACACACAGACACACCCATACAAACACATATCTGCATATCATAAATATCAATTATCATAAATGGTATGATTTTTAAAGACTCTTAGCTACAACGTGTAAATATAACAAACTTATTCTACTCCCCAATTCATTCAATATAGTCGAGCAAACTGCTTTTGTAAACACTGTGAGACATCGATCTCATACACAAAATAAAACAGAGCCAGTCTTGAGTCTCATCCATTGAAATGAATAATAACGGCAGACGCAGATGTCTTTGTCATGCCGCCAAAATTGCATGAGTTCGAAAAGACTAATTTCCCTACTAATTCTCTTTCAGATCTTCTGGATATTTTAGGCTCACTGGAGACGTTTGACAATTAAAAATACCATTCTTTTAATTTTTTAACAGTAGTATTTATACTTCCACACCCAATCCACTTCTATATTACAGAAATTTGCACAAAATAAAAACCTTCTCTGGTTAAACAAGACCTGGCAAGCTTCTAACCCTGTAGAGTTTATTAATGTGATAATGACCAGCTGACTGCACAAAAAAATACACTTTAAAAGTTGAATTTTAGGTCAGAGCCTCGTGAGCAGCAGTGCTGCGCTTCGGGCAACCCGAGTTCGAGTCCTGGCTGAAGGTACTTTCCCATCCTGCTGCCCCCTCTCTATCCCACGTTGATCCCTGTCTCCATACTGGCCCCTATAAATAAAGGCAAAATGCCTACATAAATCCTGAATACAAATATTACTAAAAGTTGGATTTTAGATCTAATTTGAACAAACTTGTGAAGGTGAAGGCTAAACTCTAGATCATCAGCACTTTTTATGTATTTTAGCAATAGTGTATGTGCATGGTTGACAGGTTTGGAAGATTAAGTAAAAACAGGACAGGAGATGTATTAATTTATTAATGTACTTTTAATGCATGTCATAGATCTTATGGACTTTGTTTAGCTGACCTTTTGATCTAAATGTCATAACTGGACCTTCCAGTGAAAATGACATCTCTCTGCTGATGTATGCAGGAGTTCCTCCAAATGTTTACAGTCAGTTTAAAGGGGTCATAGGATGCCCATTTTCCACAAGTTTATATGATTCTTTAGGGTCTTAATGAAAAGTCTGTAACATAGTTTGGTTAAAATTTCTCAATGGTAGTGTA